ACTCACGCTCCACACTTACTCCCTTCTGCGCCAAAATCTTTATCCCATGCCCTGGCAGCCACCTCCCGCACACCGAACTCCTCATTTTGGCCTTACCCCAAAACCTAGACCAAGTCATACAAATCTACTGTCGCGGGTACGGAAAAGAGGTAATCTGGCCCATAGGAATCCTTGAACTCTGGTCCTCTCTTGTCTCCCCCCACTCCCAATGGGGCTGGAGCAGCTGAGGGGGGAAGTGTCTCAGTGGGGGGCCACATGAGTAGGGGGGTTGGCTGTTGTTTGGAGGTTTTTTCCCTCTCACTGTTTTCTGGTCCCTGACTGATTTTTCTATAGCTCAATGTCCTCCGGCTCCAAAAAGTTTCCCCACCCCCAAAAGGTTTTCCCGCCCCTGCCATAAATAAAGAGAACATTGAAACCGTTAGTTTTGGACATAAATAAATATTTTACTTTATTTAAAATGAAGTTTGGTGATTAACAGGAGAAAGTTAACGCACTTAATGTGCTTAATTATTTTGATTTTGATTAATAATGTTTCCTTTCTTACCGGTTATACACCTCCCAGCCCCGTGTTATAGCTCCAGTCATCTTTCTCTGCCTGGATCCTCTGTTTTGGGAACTGGGCCCAGCAGGCTAAAGCCTCAACCCCCTTTTATCCTCTCCAGCAGGCCACCCAGCCTTCGATTCTCTCCAGCAGGCCACCCAGCCTCTGCTGCATAAAAATTTTGACTCAAACAAGAGAGGGGGCTGCTCAGCTACAAAAGTTTGAAAACAGGAACTCGGGCAGGGAGGGGGTAGCTCAGGGTGTAGAAAGAGGAGCAGCGTGGGGCTGTGTGTGAACAGGGGGTAACTACGTGCTGTGCCAGGAGGGCTCCCCTGCAGCCCCTGTTCCCTGAGGGCTCTGGTGGCCATGGAGCCAGGTCCCCTCTCACCGGCTGTCAGACAAGGGGGTAGGAGCAGTGTTCCTGCTAAGATTTTCCATCCTTGGGCTGACTGAATTTTCTCATGTGCAACACCAATATCGCGGTGGTGTGTGGCCATGCAGCACCAGTACAACCCAAACCCGTCGGTATAAATATGTGTTTTCAATAGTCCGTGGGAAGAAAATATATTAGGTGCGAATTAGGGAGAGCAGGGACAAAGGAGCATGCAGAGAATAAACAGAACTGAATGCGGCAACAGCAGCTGCTGGAGAGGAGGGAACAGCCCGGCTGCCTGCACCATGGCACCAGCCAGAGGAGCAGCTGCCCTGCCCTGCCTGGCTCTGCTTCCTGCCTCCAAAGTGGCCGGGGCAGGGAGAGAGGAGGGCGGGTCTGTCTCTGCCACTGCCCTGCACTTCCACGCACGTCTGGGGGTAACATCCCCAGTGCCCCCAGCTCTGTCCATGGGCTCAGGCGGCTCCTGCTGCATGGGGAGCACTGGGGATCCGGGATTCAGCCCTGCCAATCCCAGCTTCAGTTTGGCTTCCGCCCTCAGCTCCTGCTTTCAGCCCCGAGGGGTTCCCAGCCTTGGGGCTTCAGACCGTGCTGGGGATCGAGGCTTCATCCTGGGGGTGCTGGGTATTGAGTGTGGACACCAGCAACAGGGCATAAATAAGGGACAGAACCGTTAAAAAGGGACCAGGGGTCACCCTGTCCAAAGGTCGCAGCAGCTCTCAACTGGGAACTGGGCTGGGCTGGGTCATCACTTCCTAGGGTGTCACACGGGAAATGAGGCCTGTTCCCATCACTGCAGGAAGGGGGCGAGGGCCGGGGAGAGGAGAACGCACCGTGGGAGAGACTCTGCCCCTAGGGGAGAGGAAGCCCAGTGGGGAGAGCCCCCAGCTGAGAGTCATGGGAGCGGCGCTCTCTGCTCGGCCCTGCAAGCACCTTGCTGTGTGACCCTGGGC